AACACGGGTAACACTGGTAATGTATGGTCAAAGCCTAAAGCAGCTCTCGCCACTTACAGCTCCCACCCATCCAGTGAAACACTAACAGCATATATACAAAAAGAATTTTTTCTTTAAACATTGGGAAACAGCCTCGGACTCAACGCAATAAGTTAATTTACCTCGATTACTATTCACGTTTGAAAGAATTTGAAAAAATGTATTTGTACCTGCCCAAGATAAAGTTTGGCTTTCTATCGGTGCACATCATTTGACCACGAATGATTCTACCGTCTGTGAGTTCAACTTCCATCCATCTTCCCATATACTGGGCTACACTTTCCATCGCTGCACCCCTATCTTTACTATGATCGTAACACGAAATCCCACTCTAATGTGTCCAAGTACATAGTGGGCAAAACACAGAGCACCACAAAGTATTCAAAACCTGCCATTAAAACTTTATACTCGAGAAAACAATCAAAGAATCAGTATGCCCAAGTAATTAATAAACAGGGCTGCAAGAGGCCAGCATATCAGTAATGAGGTACGATCTGTTGACAACGAACATGGCAACTAACATCATCTTTACGATTTTCAGCATAGTACAGAACTTTAATATTAGCGTTACCCCACTCCTCTTAGCAGTGTGATATTAGAATTTGGCGTAGATACAAGAGAAAGACAAAAAGTGGAAAGCTAAAAACAGGGAAACGGAACAAGTGCCTAGTAAAAATCGACACTAGAAAATGAGATTTGAGAAGCGACATGCCAAAATACCTCAAATATTCCAGATATATAGAAATGATTGCAACCTGGTATTACAACACAAAAACTCATAATACACGTCGACGATATTGTAGCACTTAGAAGGTGCTTAGAGCGGCAGTAAATTGATGCTATAGCTGGAAAGGCTGACAAGTTGTACTTGCGAATTGAAGCGTCTGAGCCTAATTATGCTGATGTGTTCTATGTTGAAAGTTCGGTAAGAGTTTTGATATCACTATCATATAACTGAGACACGGCTAACACTTTGGCTGAGGAGTACTTCTCGCGCACGGCTAGCAGCTTCGGCAATGAATGTAGCCTCAGGAAGACTTTGGCAAAAGTTGATCCTAGTTCCTCAGCTTCCTTCAGTGTGATACCCGTCATCTTCCTGGAAAACAAGTCATTAGGAAGATCAAAAATAGATATAGAAATAGAAAAGGAACTAGCAGAAAGAAGAAATAGAGTAGTAATTGTAGTAAAGTAGAATAGAGTAATAGTAGAGATAGAAAATTGTAGTTTCGATGCCGGTTCTCACTATTTAGAGGCAGCGTCCAGGCAAATATGGACATATGGGGACCTTACGTGGAAAGTAATCTTAGGAC